AATCCAGTCATCTACTTTTGGTAGCCACACTATTTTTACAGCCATTTCCCAGTTTCCACTTTCAAGCTGGTTAGGTATGAAGTTCCCGCCTCCCACTCCTTATAGTTCCCATGGTCACTGAGGTTAAGAATACAATAAAGTGTTGATCACTCACTCCCCCATGGGGTCAGGTGAACCTCAGCCAGAGGGATAGCTCCATTTTCCCTCCCTCTGAGCCAGAGAATGTGGTGTGTGTGTGTCTGTGTGTGTGTGTGAAGGGTGTGGGGAGAGGACAGGTTGTATCCACTCCTCTTCAGCCACTTCTTTTAATGTGTCGTGACTGGTTCTCTAACTCAAACCTCCTCGTCTCCCAAACCACTGGGCGCAACTCTTTCCCATGCCCCTTAAAAAAAAAAAAAAAGCAGGACAGTTACTCTCATAAAGAAATCTGAGCAGCCTGGGGCAAGCAATAGTTCCCCAAATATCCACATTCTTGACTCTGTTATCCCTAGGGACTAAGTACTGAGGTGAAACTACCCTGTACTTAAGAAGCTAAACAAATTCATCATGAAGAACTTGTTGTAAAACTCCTCCCCAAAGGAACTCAGATACCAATGTCAACTCAGGGTAGAAGTTTGAGTACAAGGCTGTGGAATTTTAGAACTGACTGTAGACAGAGCTGAGGCAGAACACTTATTGACCTTAGCAAACATATATTGATGCATGTCAGAAATAGATCTCAATTTAACCCGAAGAAATTTTTCAGCATTTCCCAAATATGTACTAATCTCTACTTCTTTTTGTAACTTGATCTGTAATCTTAATGTAAGTTCAACCTGAAGGGTTATTAATACCCTAAATGCTGTAAGAGTTCATTGTTTTTTGCTTTTCAATTTTTTTCTTGTACATATAGAAACATGACCCCAACTTTCAATCAGGTTAAAACTATTTTAGTGTCTGAAGGAAGTTCTCATCTCAGCATGTTTCAAAAACAAAAAAATTAAGGTACAGTAAAAATAATTAAGGTACAGTAAAAACCTCTGGATGTGCATTAATAGGAAAGGAAATTTGGGAAATCTGGGTCTACCTTGCAATATACTCACTTCTAGCTTTTTCTCCTTTTCTGACAAAACATCTTTCTGGTTCTGGGTATATTCCACCAACATCCGAGCCAGCTGGCGCCGGTCTTCCAGTTCTGCAGCCAGGCGCCCATTATATTCTGCTAGTAACAGACATGCTTCATCGACTGTTTTTGAAAGCCGTTCAGCTGCCTCTTTGTCTAAATACAAATGAGATGGGGGAAAAAAAACAATATACAAATCATATAGGAATGACTAAAAAATTTCAGAGGGAGGTAGATTAACAATTCCTCCCCTAACACAGAGTCCGAGAATAAATCAGACGCTGTGGACACACAATGGACTGGTTGACTGAGAATTGCAAAGGTTCCTGTGCTTGAACAAGACAGGACATTACTGAATTACCCGAAGGCAAGTACAAAGAGGGGCCTCTGGCAAAGGATTACTTAATGCCTATTCCTACAAAAGCTCTAGAAATAAACAGATATTTAAGGTCATGAGTAATTTCTCCTTGCTACCAAAAATTTCAAAAATGCTTTTTATTCATATTGTTTTGCTAAGTATAATTTGCACATTCCTCTGAAATACAAAGGCAAGCACATATTTCTTCACAGGAGAAATGAAAACAGAAAAAAGGCACACAACCGGTTCAATATGTGGCTAGCTAAGGATTGGGACTCAAATCCAGGCCTTGAATGTGAACCTATAGGACTTGACCTCTTAATTTATGTTAAGCCCTGAACCTGGGTGTGAACTTTCTCCACCCACTGAGCAAAATGTAGGGTCTGGAATGAAAGAGGCTTTCAAATGCTTTTGAATCTGGTCCACAGTAAGAAATTATACTTTTTGTAAATAATATAAAAATGAGACAGTTTTATGAAGCATATTTATCCATACTGTGCACAAAGTGTGACATCTCTTCCATTTTTTTTTAACATTGGCCCTTATCTACCAGACTGCTTTTATGGTCTATTAATGGGGTGCAACTCACTGCTTGGCCATGCTAAAATCTCAAAAGTATAAAAGAGCACTGCTGGAAAGACGGCAGACAAAGCGCAACATGAGAAATGCAAGGGCGAAACTGAAGGGTGCTCGGGAGCGCCGTATTCCTAACCCTGTGGGTGGTGGTGAGGCTGGAACTTTAAATAGGTGCACCCTTCTTAAAAGGCCTTTCAGGGTCAAGAGAGTAGACGGTGGTTTGAAACAAAGAGCACCAGACTCCAGCTCCAAGGCGTGAAGACAGGCTATCAGGTGGGATCTCAGTACACATCTCAGCATCTCCAAAAAACAGGGCTTAAGAATTCCCAGTTTAGGAGTCAACCTAACAAAGGAGGTAAAAAAACCTCTACAAAGAAAATTACAAAACACTGTT